CTGCTCGCTCGGAATGGTGTTAAGTTCGGCGAGGCCGTGTGGTTCAAGGCTGGTGCACAGATCTTCAGCGAGGGTGGATTGGACTACTTGGGCAACCCAAGCTTGATYCACGCCCAGAGCATCCTGGCCATCTGGGCCACTCAAGTTATCTTGATGGGTGCTGTCGAGGGCTACCGTGTCGCCGGCGGGCCTCTTGGTGAGGTGACAGACCCACTCTACCCCGGCGGCAGCTTCGACCCACTTGGCCTTGCTGATGACCCAGAAGCTTTTGCTGAGCTTAAGGTGAAGGAGATCAAGAACGGCAGACTGGCTATGTTCTCCATGTTTGGCTTCTTTGTTCAGGCCATTGTGACTGGCAAGGGACCCTTGGAGAACCTTGCCGACCACCTTGCCGACCCTGTCAACAACAATGCCTGGGCCTACGCCACCAACTTTGTTCCGGGCAAGTGATCAGCGCAAGATAAACCACAATTAATATTTATGTTCTTAATTTACTGCTCAGAGAAACCATGTGCATTTGATTTTTGTGTGTTGGCTTTGCAATGTAAATTGATGCAAATTAATGGAAAATTCTATTGTAAACAATCTTTGCAATGTTAATGAAATTGTGAAATGTTACTTCCATGGACCAAACTCCCACGCCCCATAGATCAAAATTGTTCCATCAGTAAGTAATCCTAAGTCCTGTATGTGTGTGGAACTAGTCATCAAATAACAGTCCTGCTGTAAGGAACATAAACCATAAACCATAACAGTTGAAGGCCGTTAGCCTCTTGGTTATCCAGCAATATTTGGTTCTACGTACTATAGTATTGGGCTGTATTTAGGTCGGGTTCTAATCAGATGTGCAATTCAAATCCTATCTGGTTATTGAAACTTCAAATCCGAATCCAAAATCCTGTCTAAAATCTTGTATATCATACTTGGATTGGAATCGGATTTAATTTGAATCCGCTTTGTTGCCTTTCAAATATAAAAAACAATGAAAAGTTAAAAATAATAATTATTATTTTTTATTTATAAATATACAATAAATTCTATGTATATAAAACATTGAATTTATTCTTTATAAACTTTATATTATTAAATATAATATATACAATTATACATACTCAGGCCATAATTGTAAGGATAGCAAAGGGGTAGGTTCTAGGATGGTTTTTAAAATTCTAGATCCTACCCACCTCCCTAAACCTCCCAACCCGTACCTGTCCCAAAACCCATAGTGGGTTGGATTTTGAGAATTCAATCCCTCACCACATTCAAGGGTAGGGGCAAATTTGGTTTAGAACTCACATCTAATTTCCTAGTATTTCTTGTTATATATAAACAATAAATAAGTAAAATAACATAAGCAAACAATAATATTTTCCAATTATTTGATTAAGAAATGTAAAAAACACAAATTATCGATTATACTTCACATAAAACTCAAAATATTATTAAATTCAACACCAAATACATAAAGTTTATATGCTTTCCAACAATATGTGGGTCAGAGAGGGTCGGATTTAGCCAAATACCATACCCTACCTGTCCCCACCCCAAAACCCGTCCTTCAAGCAAAAAAAAACCACCCCATTGGGGTGGGTACCCATTAGGTAGGATAGACATTACTATCCCTACATAATTGGTAAGTCAGATCTTCAGATATGATCCGATCCGACTTGTTTTCTTTAAAAATTAATAAATTATTAAAAAAATATACCAATTTAAATAAAAAAAAGTACAAGTATTTTTTTAATTATTTTCATCATATATATATACATGTTTTTTATAAAAAGTAAATAATATAACAAATTTATAAAAATAAATATAAATAATATATTTATAAATAAATCAATAGCATAAATATTATATATATATATATATATTTATATATATATATATATATATATATTTATAAATATATATAACATATATCAGATCGGATATGGGGTTATTCGAATCCAATCCGATTTCTGATCCATTTGCACCTCTAAATCTATGTGCATGAACTTCAATGTGAAGCAAATAAATTGAACCAGTAATAAAGTGGCACATCATTATTGAACCTTTAATGATATGTACACCTTATAAAACATAAATAAATGAAAAGTAAATATATCATGTGGCTTTTTTAATGTAATTGGTCAAAATTTTGATTCAAATATTCCAAATGCATCATACTTGGAAAGTTGAAAATAAGTTAGAGTAAATTGTCTTATTATATACTTGTTAAGTATCTTAAGACTTGTGGATTTCTTGTTTAGAATTACTACAAGCTTTGCCATTGTGAGATTATCTTACATTGCCTACCCCAAGCCTAGATAAAAATAAAAATATTTTTTTAATTATTTTCATCATATATATACATATTTTTATAAAAAGTAAATAATATAACAAATTTATAAAAATACAATATAAATAATATATTTATAAATAAATAAATAGCATAAATATTATATATATATATATATATCTATATTTATAAATATATAACATATATCGGATCAGATATAGGGTAATTCGAATCTGATCGGATTTCTGATCCATTTGCACCCCTAAATCTATGTGCATGAACTTCAATGTGAAGCAAATAAATTGAACCAATAATAAAGTATACCTTATAAAACATGAATAAATGAAAAGTAAATATATCATGTGGCTTTTTTAATGTAATTGATCAAAATTTTGATTCAAATATTCCAAATGCATCATACTTGGAAAGTTGAAAACAAGTTAGAGTAAATTTTCTTATTATATACTAGTTAAGTATCTCAAGACTTGTGGATTTTTTGTTTAGAATTACTACAAGCTCTGCTATTGTGAGATTATCTTACACTGCCTACCCCAAGCCTAGATAAAAAGTAAGGTTGCGTGGCAGCGAACATTTAAAACTTTTACCGAATTCCAATAATCATGGATGTGTGCCCACATTCACGTTCCGTGGTTTAACCAAATCATATGTGCTGGCAATTTGTATCCCAATTCCGTCACATAGATAAAGCATCCTAGAAAGCCCTTAGGCTTATAGTTTGAAAAAAGTACAGATACAAATATGTATATTGCAAAGCCTAAAGCCTTGTATTTGCGGCTGAACCTTTGGCTCAGTTTGGAAAGAGTACTTATACAAATTTGTAGAGCACAAAACCCTGTATTTTATATTATTTTGCATGTATTTACACTCATGTGAGTACATATTTGTATTTGTACTCCTTCCAAACTGAGCCTTAATTGCAATTTCAATCACAATTCACAAGGAATAAAACCAAATTCAGCAATTGCCAAGTGGCTTACCAGTAACAATAAGGAATAAAATATCGATATGAATCTATGATACACCCTTATATCAAGCCTATCATATTCTAAAAACTTTAAAATTTTCTTTTAGGCCCTCTAATATCTATAGAATTAAAAAAAAAAAAAACAGTATCGATAATATTGATAGGCACCGATACGGGCGCTACCCACTTGAGGGTATCAGGCACAAATACCCACTAGACTTGGGGATATCAGGCATATCAATATTTTAATCATTGCTTATCAGAATTCGATCATTGAACATTCAAAATTTTGAACCCAAAAAGGAAAGAGAATTTCACATCAGTTGATTCGCAAATTTACCTCAGAAAAAAAAAAAAAAACAATTGCATTTAAAATATCTTGCTTTGGGCTAGCCTTGGCATGACAAACAATAATGAGGTCACTGTCGGAGTCATCTTCCTGGAGTCATCCTAGTAGTCGATAGGAAATGGTGAATATATAAGTTGATTCTTTACTTATCAAAAAAAAAATGGTGAATATATAAGTTCACAAGCTGTGGATGGTGAGGCATGACTCAGGAGATACACGGGAAGAAGACAAAGGAGAGGGTTTTTTGTGAGAAATGTGATATACTGTTAATATCAAAATTTTGGCAGTAATTAACAAAATAAATGTAATAAGAGTCACCAATTTTTTATAAGTTTATTGAATCTAATAGACTAATGGTAGTCATCAGCTATTACAATTTAAGATTCTAAATAGGTGTTATTATGACCTTTGAGAAACGGTCCATTAGACATTTTACAGAATTGGTGGGTCATGGATTTACTGACCAGTATGACCAACCTTCATGGTGCTGTAGAACGCCATAATCACCAAAAAAAAACGCAGCTTGGAAGCACATCCTCATTACTGTAAACAAATTCCATGAGGGTTCTGAGTTCTTGACTGGAAGATGAGAAATCCTTCAAAAAAACTCTATGTGATTTGATGCTACCAACCAAGCAGTCCATTGACAGATAAAGCAAAAGTTGCTAGTTACAAATGAAAGCATCAAAATATTTATACAGGTTTAGCATAACTAAATCCAACGGGTACATAATTGTTATCATAGACAAGGTAATAGAATAACAGCATACAGCATGTTCTTACGATTTATTTATCTATACTATCCAAATACTTCTTATCTTTTTGATACAATGATACATACCCACCAAGGGTATAACTGATGGAGAATCTACACGCAAAACCAGTGATCCTTGTTCTATATACCTGGAAGCTCCTCCTATTTTGGTTTAAGTTTCAGGGATGCACTGAAGACATGGGGCAACAACAAATAAAAGTTAATTTTCAGATTTGAACCAAAGAAGAATAAAGAGTTTGGGAGGTTGGAAGAATTATTTACCTGTTGATACAATAGCGCTTTCCAGTAGGTGGCGGACCATCATCAAAGACATGACCAAGATGAGCATCACAAACAGAACAAAGAACTTCTTGGCGAGGCATGAAAATAATTGACAGGTCTAACTTTGATTTCACATTATTTCCTAGAGGCTGATAGTAAGATGGCCAACCAGTCCCGCTGTCAAATTTCGTGGATGACCTAGAAAAGAGGACACAAGAGCTTTACACAATGGAATTGTGCAAGGAAAGCATCCCTATATGCTGATCCAAGTTTGTCAATTACACTTGGTACACAAGTTCTAGTATGTATGGAACTACTTACTCAAATAAAGGTGTGTCACAACAGATGCAGTGATAAGTTCCTGGGGTTTTAGTGTTCCAATACTCCCTGAAATTGAGAAAAGAAAATACAAATGAACTCAAACAAGAAATTGGTTTATGACATGCATTATGCTTCTTGTCACGGACTCCAATGTTCAGCTTCTAAAACCACAATCTCAGGGTAAGAAAATGATTATAGATTCTTTGTGGTGTTAGGAATCCATACCAAATGAAATGATTTCATTTTTAGTTTTTTATTGCATTTGAGGCCATAACCTTTTTTAAAATGAATTTATTTTACTTCAGAACTTCAAGAAATGATTCCATTTCCTTTTTTGTTTTCTTTTTTATCAACAGTGAATAATCTAACGTCAAAAGTGGAAAAACCCCAGCATCCAAAAGTGTTTGCAATGAAGAGAAAATAGCAACATCACTAGGCTGACCATACAATTGAAATATAATTATGAACAAAAACTAAAACTAAAACAAAATTATTCATTCCAGGTGACTTCCATAAATGCAATATATAATCTGAAATTCTTAATCATGGTGAGAAATGGAATGCTCCCTCTACTACAAACATAACAGTTCACTATTATATTAATCATAAGATTCATTAAAAAGGGCAGCTTTGTCTTTCAACCAGTAGAAGTACCCCAATTACCAAATTCTATTTCTTAGAATTTTTTTCAATTTTCAAATATTTAAATTAAATGTTTAGATCTGACTGATATATATATATATGTCATAGATCCCACATCCACATATTATCATATTTGATAATATGTGTTTGCATGTTTGCAAAGAGATTTTACAGTATACAAGTATAACAGCATTATATGGAGACACACACTATGCAGCCCAAATAGGTACAATAAGGTCATTTAATTATGATTGGATATACACTATATAATGTGAAGAGAATTACAACTTGATGGATCTTTCTTGCAAATTATATGAATCATACCCAGTAAATGCCCTCTCAGTTCCCTTCTGTCGAGTGATGTAAAATTGTTCCTTTGTAAGGCGCTTCTTCCATTCTTCTTCACTTATTGAAGCATAACCTATGCTACTAGCCTCTGCAAATAAATGAAAGGAACTCTTGAAAATAACACTAATAGAAGGTAAGGAACCTGACATTGAAGATTACAATATGAAGCCACATCTTATATATACTACAGTAATGATTGCAGTAATAAATCCAATCAATATGTTCCTCGAAATTATATTTTTGAAAAATTGTGGAAACAGAAAGAAAACTAGAAGAAAGAAGAATTTCAACATGGAAAACAAATAAATCTTCAAGATGGAGATAGGTCTATTCATCCATAATACTCTACAACTGTTGGATTGGCACCTCCCCCAACCTAGGATGTGAATTTTTTTTCTGTGCCAAATTTACAGCTACCAACCAAAGATTCACCATACAAAAGCTCATATGCTTCCCAAAAAATGTCGAAGAAGAAGAAATATCAATTTTGAACCAACAGGTCTTGGAAGAAAACCCTTTTCCCTTGAACACCTAAACTTGATCTTCCTTATAACCATTAGCATTTTCAAAAATGCATGGCAGAAGCCCCAAATGCGGTTCTTGGGGCAAATTCAAGCATGATATTGATTTACTCCTAGTACTAATATATCATAACAAATTTTTGACATACATAATTAGAGATAATGTTAGTTAGATGGAGACTTAGAATTTGGAGATATCAGGCTTTGGAAGCCATACTGAAATCCCAATTATACAAGTAAACTTCAAATATACAAAATATATTACCTACAAAAAGGGGCTTAAATTTTGTAGGAGATGACCTTGGTTTTACTTTGTAGTGTTTAGTAGCTAACTCCTTATTCCTTGACTTCTTTTTTGCCCCATTCTCTAATGTAGGAGATGACCTTGGTTTTACCCGCTATATTAATGAAAATTCATCAACTCTACAAGCTTGTTTTACACTGAGAAAACTACAGGTGCAACCTGGGAGGATTCAGGTTGGGCCTTTGTCAAAATTTGAATGGGCCCAGCCTGAATGCCCGAGTCCAAAGCAGTGTAAAATTCTAACTCGGGCCAACCCCAAGTTACAGCCCTAGAGAAAGCATATTCTTCTCATTATAGTTGCATTGATAAAGGATGGGAGAGGAGAAATGTAATCAGAATTATCCAGTCTTCTTGTTGGATGATTGTACTTGGTTATTCTATTGTCCCAATGGAAACATACCCCATAAAGGCATGCCTGATGTTCTTTGATTGTTTACAACATTCTCTCATATTGTCCCTGACAGAGTCACACCGCAGCACTATTTACATTGAACATTACCATATTAACCATGGAGGGTGGGCCTCGGTGCAACAGTTGGGTTGCTCCATTGCAACCTGGGTGACCAGGGTTCAAATCTTGGAAACAGCCTCCCTGTATATGCAGGGGTAAGGCTGTGTACATCTGTCCCTCCCCAGACCCCGCATTGGCAGGGGAGACTTGTGCACTAGGCTGCTCTTTTTTATAAACATATTGACCACAGACAGTGTAATATTTCCTAAATGATAACAGTGTAAGGAATCACAAGAAAAGATTTTCAGTGGAGGGTTATCAACTCCTCCTCATGGCAACTTCTTGTGATAAAGAAATGGTATTTTCAGTTTAATTCTTCCTATTTCTTTGTAGGGATTCTTCTTCATTTATTTCTCAAATTAAAGGTTTCCCTTCTCATTGTCATGAATTCTCCATGTATGAAGGCAGTACTTCTTTTGCCAATCCACGGTGTGATGTAGTCAAATCTTTTGACATCATAGACTAGAAGTGACAAGTTGGGTTATCCAGGCAAAAGTCTAGACCATAGGCTTTCAACTCATACAAGTAGTCAAACCACTTTGGCTTCTTTGTCACTTTGGGCTTGTTTTATGACCCATCTCTTGCAATCATAACTCAGAAAGTATGGCTTCAATCAAGGTCCACTAGAAATAACTAAATAGTGAAATTGTATGCTTACCAACATTAGAACCAGTCCCAGGACCAGCCAAATCAATTCAGAGCTTAAATTAGGATGAGCTATCCAAGCACACACTGGGCACTAAATGGTCAACAGACGATGCAAAACCAAGTCCACCCAAAGGTTCAGAAACCATACACTCAATGATTTTAAGACAATTCAATTGGATCAGGTTGAATCATATCAGATGTGGCTTGGGTTAAGCCAGGTTGTCTGAAGCCATATTATAGCACAGCACAATTTGTTACACATTAGAAGTAGTAAGAAATGATTTAAGCACTAATAATCTAACAGTGGATATGGCTTTAAATAAAACGGATTGGCAAAACAAGATTCATGTAGCCAACCCCATATAGTTGGGATAAGACATGGATGACGATGATGATAATGACAATTTTGAAGGAGCTAGAATAGCTCAGGGTAGACCAAAAAGGGCATGGATAGAAGTAGTAAGAAATGATTTAAGCACTAATAATCTAATAGTGGATATGGCTTTAAATAAACCGGATTGGCGAAACAAGATTCATGTAGCCAACCCCATATAGTTGGGATAAGACATGGGCGATGATGATGATAATGACAACTTTGGGTTCAGTCACTACTCCTAAACCAAAAGGCAACCCATCTGAGATGGTTATTCAACCAGACAAGTGTTAGTGGAGCCCATTCAAGTTTCACCCCTCCCACCAACTGGTTCTAGCTTGGGTCCAATATGGGAGGTCATGGTAACAAGATCCGGCCAACCAAACTTCATTGTCAGAGCTTGGCTAGGCTGAAAATTCCAGGCTGATCTAAAACTGAATTTCACTAGGCTGGGAAAGTATCAGCCCAAACCATCCATGGTGAATTGGTAATATATAAAGGGTCAAGTCTACTAGTTTTATTGTTTACAGAATAAGCCAAATGAACCAGGAAACTTCCATTTAAAAGCATCAGGCTCAAAATGAGTCCCTTTGCTCCTCTCACCACCCTTCCTTTCTGGAATAAGTTTCAGCCCAGAATACATTTCTGCATCTTTAATACAAGTCTTTCTTCCCACTTTTTTCCATCTAAAGTGACCAGCAAGCTTGTGCAAGTTGTGAAGTCAGCCTCTTACTCTTGATTTTTGTGTGGCACCACCAATGCTTCCCTGAAGTATCATTCCTCTATCAAGAGGGCCACTAGGCTATATGGAAATGAGGCCAAACCAAGTTTCTAAGAAAATGGATGAAATTCCAAAGAGTTGAGCTAATACCTATAAAAACCAGAGTTACCCATATATATGTAGAGGTACGTGTCCTTTCAGATGTGTCGAGCACCTCTTCCATGAAAACGGCAGTGAATTGGGCAGGCTTCTAATAGGAAGTCCTAGACTCAACTCCAACCCTCCCCCCCTGCCAATCTTCCAACTTATTTCCTAGGACTGAAATATAATACATCCCCCTAAAGTTTGGTTACAATATCTTCTCTTGTAATACATTACTTTCAAAACAATCCCAACCAACCTTAGGCAGGGTGATCCCACATGCATACGCCTCCACAATTTAGCTCCATAAACTAGAGAATAAATGCATAGAGATTAGTATGCATCACCTAGGCTAGTACATGCAATGAGCTCCTTGGAAACTCTCACAGTCTGGAAGAAAAATTAAAAAAGGGGCTTAGAGAAGCTAGAATCTATATATCCCTCGGTTTGGTAGCAACAGCATCACCTTCGAACTAACATCCAAACCATCGAAACAATGACCATTCAACTAGACAAAAATGAGAGAAGGGATCCTATGCTGCCCACTTAAGGCAAGGATACAGCTAGATATAGTATCAGATATAAAATTGACACTAAAAATTGAAGTACCTGACATGATACATCACCCTTGTACAGATATCTGGGCATCATAGAGGGGATCTCCTTTACAACAGCATCAACTAGCACCCAAATGACATATGAAAGCTGCCAAAGGAATGTGGGAAAGGAGTGTACCTCCATCCACCAACAGCACAAGCTCATGTATCCCCAGCATTTGGAAAGCTATCAAAGGAGTCATATTCTTTTAATCATTTCTAGCCCATCCTGGGCCCAGAATATATATTATATAATACTTTGTATAAGTATGGAATATATTTTAAATAATCTATACTATATAAAGAAGATACTTGCCTTGGTTTGGGTGCAGGTCATAGAAGTTAAGTTTGATTATATAACCCATAAAATTAAGTCATTAACTTCATATCTCTACCCTTTACTTGCATGTGCATAACACATGGGTTTACACCAGTATTATTATATATGTCCTACAATATACAATAGTGTATATATTAAATAATATATTTAAAGTTGTAGGCTGGAATGCAAGCTGAGCTAGGCCCAGGCTACAACCCTTGTCCCATGTGCTAAGATAGGCTGGCACATTAGGGCTGCCAATAGACTCCAAAAGTCCGATACTCAATCTGACATTTGATCTGATTACTCTGATTTGAATGCTAAAACTTGCATCCGTTTAGTAATTAGATTGGATGTGGTTTGACCCCATTCGATCTGATAAAAATCCGAGTCCAATTATATGTAATATAACAATGCATATAAATAGATATTATGTATATTTCTTATATATTATAAGTTGAAAAAAGAATTGATTTTTTTTTATTTTTTCTTTATTTTAAATGACAATAGAGAAAAGTAGGATTAAACCTGAATCCAAACCATGTCCAATATTTTGGATTTTGGATTGGATTTGGATGTAACTGAATCCAGCCTGAATCCGACCAGATTACAGCTCTATGGCCCAGTGATCAACCCCTAATTTCAATTTTGCATTTTTTGACTTGTCAACAGAGGCCTCACCCTAAGTGCCTGTTCAGGAGCGCTTTCATGCAGTGGCTTCCGACATTGTAAGGTGACCCCACATGGAAAGCCATGAAGCTATATTTGGTGAAAAAGACAAGAAATCCCAAAAACGCATACAATAAGCTGAGAAATTGGCTTTCAGGTGAAGGTAGCTTCTTCAAAGCGGCTCAGTTACACAGCTCAATTAATGCTAAAGCCCTCTACCCTCCCAACTGAGCCCTAAATAAACCCTTTATTGGATAAAGACAGGCCAACTCTCTATGTTTACCCTCTATCTATCTATTTATCTATACCTCTGTATCTATCCAGCAACTAAAGGATTTAGGGTTATTCTGGAGATGAACTCGTTAGCATATCAACTCAGCATTTGGGTCAGATTCATGAAGTAAACAAGTGTCAATTGAAAGAGTTAAAACATTCTGTTTTGATAAATGGTAGAAAAATACTGCTCCAAGATCCCATCATTATTTCATTTGTAGTAGTTGCCATAAGAATGGGGTAAAATTTTTTGGAATTTGGACAAAATAAAGTTGTGCCTTGTCGAATAAGTGTCATAGTAAATTGGTTCAATTGCTGTTACCCACGAGGTTGTCTTTCTTGATCTTTATGGTTTCGATAACATGTCATGCAGGTAAGATAAATCAAGGTTGCGATTGGTAGAGAAAAAGAATGTTGAGGGAAAGTTGTTAAGGAATTTCATAAAATCCTTATGAACCTTCTGTTTCTCTCTTATTTCCGGTCAAACGAAACGCAACCTAAGGTTCTCTGAGGCTTTAAACATTATTTACAGGTTCAAAACATAGATATTTTGTACTTATAAAAGTTACCAATAAGTCCTATTGAATGCGTAGGTGAATTCCAATTCAGTAAAAAAAAACAAATAAACAAATAAACAGAAAAACAGAAAAGAAGGCTGAATTTTCCTGGGTTACTGATCTATCCTAGACTAACCCGATTTGCGTATTCCATAGCAGCACTCAAAAAAATCCCCTGATTTTTCACGAAAGGAAATCAGATATGTATTCCTCTCGGGCTATGCCTCTAAGTCTCTGACATCAAATTCATGAAGCACAACCTTATAAATAAATAGATACATAATTTAAACAAAGGAAGAAAAAAGTACAGAGACACATAGGCATATACTTCAACCAAAAAAGGAAATAAGAGGTAAAGAAGCAGAATTCATCAAGATAATTAATTGGGCTTACTGGGAAGAAGATGAAGAACTTATTCAGCAGAAGCAAAGCATGAAGATTAAAGAAAACAAATAACCAATCAATAGGGCCACCTCGAAAACAGATAAATACAGAGAGAGAGAGAGAGAGACCTTGAACATTATCTGGTTTCTGAGAAGAAGCATAAGAGCCCATTACGCGAACAGAATGTGACAGCCTTGGAGATTTGTTCAACGCTGGAAAAATGGAGAACCGTGACCTTGAGCGAGTGTTGTGTACAGAAGAAATGCAAGTCGGAATGCTGAGACTGTGAACACTTTTCAAAGCCATTGATTGCTAGACGCCTAGGCCAAACAATCGCTTCTCAATTAAAAATGTAGCTATAGAAGAGAGTTAATATACTTGGATAAGCACCAAGAACAATGCTCGTTACAAGGTACACCGTCTGATTAGAACATCAAATCCTCAAAATGATCAATTGATTGATAAGCGCATAATCGGGTTGCATCTAATGGTGTAGAATCTAAATTTCTTTTTTGGATTAGACAGGTGTACATTGGCTTTTCGTTACACGTGGCAAGTGTCTTGAGCTAGTTGGTTCACTTCTTTTTCTTCAAATTTAAAAATGAAAGAAGAAGAAAGAAAAGGAAATTGTGGCCATGAATGATCGTCGATCGATTGAGCACAAAAATGAACACGTGGTCACTCGGATTGTGCAAGAAACAGTGCTGCAGGGGAGCTTGAATCTCCGATGACCACGGTTACCGGCCTATACTGTAACCACTGATCACAAACCAGAAGCTCAAGGCCCGCTGTTAGGTGGGCCAGACTGGCAATACATGGGTGAGGTATAAGTGCCATTAGAATTAAAAAGAGAAATCTATGGTCCTCATTTAAGTGATCGATGTATTTGATACTGATTTCATCACACCAAATATATATCTTTCCATGAAATAAATAATAAAAATATAGATATAGAAAAAGATAGATATAAAATATGAAAAATGCAAAAAATTTGTAAAAGAAAAAAACATTTAGGCGCGTGATATCTAATGTTATATATTCGTCATATCAAGTAAAAAGGGTAAATTATAAAGATCCCCTGTATTATGGGGTCTGTGATAAAAACCCCATGTATTTTGTTTTGTCACAAAGACCCCTTATACTATGATTATGAGATACCTCTTTCTGTTAATTTTTCGTTGAAAAATATTTTTTAATCCCTATATTATCTTTATAATAATTATTCCGATAATTGAGAGAAAAATACTGTTCATCTTCTCGATCTTAGATACATGAACAATAGCGACGATAATCCTTCTACTTAGATTCCTTCACATTTTTCTCTCTTCCGATCTCTCTTCTTCCCCTTCCCCTTTCTCTCTTCTCCTTTCTTAGTGTCATTTGGGAAGATTAATTTGACGATGTCAAAATGACCAGCTTTGAGAACGGTGGTAATCCCTCTCTCTCTTTATCAAAATGGGTTCCCGTGTGGAACCCAGAAGGAATACTCTTCATCAATAGAAAATTACAGCCAGAGCGAGGTCGTAGGCCTTGGATCCCGTTGTTGTACTCCAACTTTGAGACTCCTCTCACGTATCCCCGGAATCTCTAGAACCTTCAAGGAAATTCAGCTTGGATATCTCAAGGCCTAGGGTTTTGTTCTGTGTTGATCCTGGCGTGGATCTGTTGCTGAAATCCGGTGCAAGTCACTACATTGAATTTAAGAGTATCGACGCAAGCTTCATTTACACTGGTGACGGGAGATTTTTGGCAGTGTCGGATTCTCGAGCAGCAATTTTTCAAGGATCGGAGTCTTGGATTGACCGAGAAGAACCAACTGATCGATCAAAAAGCTTCAGCCCTATAAATCTAAAATGCGCTTGTTTAGACTGACAACTAGAGGAAGAATTGAAATTTTGACAACGTCAGCTTCTTTCCAAATGATACGAGAAAGGGGAAGAAGAGGGAGCGGGGGAGAGAGAGAAATGTGAAGGAATTTGAAGTAGAAGGGATTACTGCCGCTGTTGATCATGTATCTTGAGGTCGGGAAGATGAACAGTGTTTTTCTCCCACTTGTGTGAATAGTTATTACAAGGATAGTATGGGATTAAAAAATATTGCAATGGTGGATTTCAAGGGAAAATTAACGGAAGGGGGTCTTTGTCTCATGATCATAGTAGAGAGGGGTTTTTGTCGCAAAACAAAGTACAGGGGGTCTTTGTCACAAACCCCATAGTATAGGGGGTCTTTGTAATTTACCCAATAAAAAATTAAAAAAAAAAAAACTATAGTCGTTCTCATGTTTGATGGTAATGAAATACGATTTTTTTTATTGACAACGGCAAAATAAAATATAAATTTCAAAAATTATCCAAGAGTGAAGTTTTTCTCATGTTTGGTGGTGGGTCAATAGTTCAACATTTTAGGTCAAATATGATAACCCTTGATGTCATAATTAAATAATAAAATTTATAAAAAAAATATATAAAAACACAAAAAATACAAAAATGAACAAATTTTGTAAGAATCATTTCAGCACATCTCTAATATCATGTATTCATCATATTAAATAAAAAAAAGTCTGATAAATAAGAAATAATTTTATACACAAAAATATAAAAAATTGTTGAAATTTTTGAAAACATACTATTGCTATCACCATCATCGTCTAAAATTTCCATGTGCAAAGCACATGCACACTTACTACTGCCAAAAATTTCAATAAGTCTAGATGAGCTATGGGCTATGGGTTATGGCCTGTATAGTTTTGTTAAGTAGGGTTGTCAATGGGTTGGGTTGACCGACAAAACCAAATTGAACTATCCTAATTGTATAGGTTTTGATAAAGGTTCTCATAAAAAACTAGAAAATTGAAAAAACAAACCAAACTAATGAAATCAAATTGAAAAATCTAGTTAATTGAACCAATCAATTCAGTAAATTTGAAAAACTAAAGGACCAGTCTAGTTTTCAATTAAACCTAAAAAATGGTGGTTATATTTATATATAGATATACATACTTATAAATATATAAAAAACTAATAACCAAAGAACCGAATTGGTCAAAAACCAAAAACTAGTTAATTGGTTTATTCGGTGTGGTTTTAGTTTGAAAAAAAAATTGATAAACTAAAGGACCAATTTGGTTTCAAAATTTTGCCCATTATTCAATTAACCAAACCATGAACATCCCTAGTTTTCGAGGCTCTAAGTAGGGGTGCAACTGAGTCGAGTTAAGTTGAACTTTGATATGTTTTGGCTTGATTTAACTAAAATACTATTAAGCTCAAGTTTGAGTTCAAGTTCAACACTAAGTCTATTTCTTGGTTCGACTTCGATTCGATTAAATATCCGATGAGCTCAAGTTTGGCTCAAAAGCTCAAAATGAATATATTTATTATATTTTAAAAATATATATAGTATATTCTTATATTTATATAGAATATAAAAATATTTTCATAATGCATATTATAAAATGTATTTTTATATTCTAATGTATGTATGTATGTATATATATATGTTAATTGAGCCTCGCGAACTTTTAAGCCAAACTTTTTATTAGTTGAGCTCAAATTTGAATAACTAATTGATCTTACCTCAAGATATGAACTTGAACTAAGCCTAATTGAACTTAAACTTAAACTATTTGATTAAAGCTGATTGCAATCCTAGCTCTAAGCCCAAATTTGTGACTTCTAATTATAATTAAGTCAGCTCTGAATTTTTATATCATGTCGATTATAATATGGACAACATCAGTTTTGGTGTTCTCTTCTTGCCCATAGAAGGATAAGGGCAAACCAAAGAGAGCATGGGTTGAACTCTGAAGTAATAAGAAGTGATCATTCATTTTTTAACAATGGTATGATGATGATATGATTACATATATGCATATTGGCATATTACAAAGTTGCCTATAATCAGCCGCATTTGGTAAGTATCTTTTAATGGTGTCTTTTGGGCTTCTCAAAGCCCATAAGCCTAAATTTTTACCTTTCTTTGTTTGGCAACAGAAGTAGTAGGGATGGGAACTTTCCTGTAAAACTGGGGCGCCATCCTACCCTGCCCCAAATTGGGCGGGTTTCCCCAATCTTAAATGGAGATGGGGAAAATACATTTGCCCTGATCCGAGGATGGGGCAGGGAAGGGCTTTGCATATAATTCCCCAAACCTTATAGTAAATTATTAAAATATGTCTAGGTTTAACATTAATTTTTATAATTTCATTAAAATTTTTCCAAATTTAAACATTTAGGATCCAATAATTTAATGTTTAAAATACCCCTAAATTTCCATAATCCAATGTTTAAAATACCCCTAAATTCCCATAATATAATTTCCAAAATACCCCAAATATGATATATTTTTAGGTGTTGACTTGGGTAGAGGTGTAAATCGGGTCATACCGCCCGAGGCCCAGTACGAACTTGGACCGACCCGGCATGATGGTCCGCGGGCCGTGTTGGGCTTGGGGTTTTAGGTCCACGGGCCGACACAGTCCATATATATATATTTATATATAGTTATATATAGTTATATAATATTATATAAATTATAATTATATAATAATATATTAATAAAATAAATATTTTTTTAGTTTTGTTATACTAATTTATTTAATTATTGCATATATAAGCAATTTTATACACAAAATTCATATAAAATTAAAGTTTTAAGTTCTTTGTCAATTTTTTTTTAAATAAATAGCTTTGGCCCGACCTGGCCCAAGACTCAGCCCACGGGCCAGCCCAGCCCGCGTCATGGCACCGGCCTGCATAGGCCTGGGCCGTGGGCCGTGCAAGGCCAACCCCCAAATTTTTCACCGGGGAGGACAGCACGGCATGGCCTGCACTTTGCGCGGGCCGCCCTCGGACCGTGTTGTGCCGGCCCGGCACAGCCCACTTTACACCTCTAGACTTGGGCAAGAAAAATTCGGGAATTCCTCATCCCTAATAAGAAGGAGGTGCCCACCCCAAATCCGCTCCGCTACTGAAGACGGGGTAAGGGATTTTGGCTACGGGGTAGAGTCGGGGAGGGGATGGCCCACCCCAAACCCTCCCCGTTGCCATTCCTAAACAGATGACAAGAAGCCCATAAGACTAGCAACCCAAAAAGCTTGTGCAAGCTCGAAAATCCCTGAAAATCGAGAAGCTCTACTTCAAGCTTATGCAAATCTCTGACCTCTCTAAGCTACATCATGTGTGCCAACAAGTACACACTTGAGAAAAAAATAGGGGTTCTTCGAAGAAAGTCCCCATTCCTCAACATACATATATAGTGTGAAACCCTCGACTCCGCAACATACAAGATGTTTTCTTCCTTCTTCTTCTTCTTATACTTCACAATAACCCATCCCCTTTTCAT